ATGAAACAACAACAATCAAAAAACATACCATTAAGAGCCGTGCTTGCACAGGTTCTGCACAATCCTCTTCACTAATATCCTCTGCGTCTCAATCGGGCTCAAACTGATGAGCAATATTGATGATGACATTAGGTGCGTTTCCATTACAGATCTGCGCAAAACTTGGCGATATTTTATAAATGTCGATAAAAAATTATTGTGAAATGACCATTAACCAATGTTATGCGACTAAAACGTAACCTTTTGCCTCTCGCGATAAGTCATGTCAGCGGTTTTTGGTGTGATTTTGACGGATTTTGGCTATATTTATTCAAATTAAGGAGGCGTATGCATGTATCTTTACAGAAGCAGCACACAGAGATGCTTCAGAAACGTGCGTGGCGCGGCTCCCGCAGACCTTAAGACCTTACTGGGCCCCGGGGCTATGACTTACTGCAGGGCCCCCATTACAAATATATATATATACATATATACACATATAGCTTTAAATAGGATTTTTATCCTATCAAAATTTTGATGCATTGAAATTTTATAATTCTTGTACCAATTTCAATATTAAACAATAATAATAATAATAAATAAAAAAAATACAAGCCTAAATGAAAATAAGCTTATACTTAAGACAAGTAAACAGACACAAATTACAAAAAAATAGACCTACTTGAAACACTTAAAGCACTAAATAAGAAATTATATTGTATACAATAATTGTACAAATAAACTGAATAGTCTTCACTGTATAAATTCAATATACATTCATTCTTATTTATTTTACAAAAGTGATTCGGTCAAGGACAGTGAGTGATTTTCTTTCAAATGTTTGATTAACATTATTAACATAAATTTTAACAGCAGCTAAATTAGGCTGCTTTAGAAGAATAGCTCACCCAAAAATTAAAGGTCTGTTGTTCTTCTAAACCTGTATGAGTTTTCTTCTGCTGTTGAATGTAAAAGTATATGAAGAGTTCATTTGCAAAAACAGATAACTCCATTTTTAACAATTTTCAAATATGATGTTTTTTCATTATGCATTCCAATCATTCTCGCTTAAACTGCAGTTGGGTCATTTTGATTAAATAAAAAATACAGCTAACTGACACAATAAAAGACAATAAAAACATGATAACATAATAAAAAAACATGATTTTTGAACATTTTAATAAACTGAGTTATCCGTTTTTGCAAATAAACTCTTCATATATTTGGAACAATACTGGTAACCCAACAGTTGCTGGGCCCCATGACTCCATAGTATGAAAAACAAAATACACTACTGGAGTCAGTGGGGACCAGAAAGTCTCTAGTTACGAACATTCTTCAAAATATCTTCTTTTATGTTGAGGAGAACAAAGAAATTCATACAGGTTTAGAACAACTTGAGGCGGAGTAAATGATGACAGTATTTTCATTTTTGGGTGAACTATCCCTTTAAAATCTCATAATATTAAGATCTCATATAGCCTACTACTACACATGATTTATATTTACCTATTAACGATCGTTTAAGACACAAATGACTGTGTTGACGAGGAGACATTTTGACACATAACTGTGCATTTGAACGTTTAAGCACAAGGCGTGAAAAATAACAAGTTTAGACTGGCGCTGTAGAGCAGGTGTGCGTCATGCGAATCAGGCTGAAACCACAACGCGCGCATTTGCCAAAATGAATTCTGCCCCACTGCTTAATGTCCCTGAACAGTTACATTTGTTTTTAAACCATAATGCTTAAAATGCGTTTAAATGAAAAGCTTAACCTACATCATGCCGCGCAAAACGATTGATAGGCTATATGGTTTATCTCTCAACCCATAAGCGAATATACTTTGTTCAAACACAAAAAGCAATATACATCCTTCAAGTTGTTAACTTGTTAATCAAACTAGCCTAAAATCTGTGGGGACGATGACGGTGTGATTTTATCTGCTCCATGTGCCCGGTCCACTTGCTGTTTCACAACTACCTACTACTCCATGTATGCGTTTCCATTAGGCGTATTTTCAATTCGCAATTTCAATTTGCGAAATTTGAAGGGTAATGGAAACGCACCTATATGTTTACAATACAACCGGAGCACATGCTGCTGAGCTGAGGGGTGGGACGTTTAGACGCGCACTAGAGGCGGTTTAGCCAATCACAACACACTGTACTAGCTAACCAATCTGAGCCCATCATGCATTTCTGAGGGAGGGGCTTTATAACACCAGCAAATGATCAGCGCGTTTATGGCAGAAGGGACAGAGCGGTGTAGAATAAATTATGTGAAAAATAATGTGTTTTTTTTTACGAAGCATTTACACATGTTAGACTGCACCCCATAAACACAATCAAGCCTAGAAAAAAAAAAAAAAACAGTAAACCACCCCTTTAAAACCAAACAATGGCTCATTACATTCACCTGAGTCTCTCCAATGTGCATTTTTTATTTTCTAATCCGTTCTGGAGTTTCTTCACTCCTGAATCCTGCAGATTATTGTTGCTGATGTCAAGCTCTTTCAGACTGGAGTTTGATCTCAGGACTGTAGCGAGATCTGAACAGCTTTCCTCTGTTAGACCACAATCACGCAGCCTAAAATGAATTCACAAATACAAATTATGGTAACACTTCACAATAAGGTTCCATTAGTTAATGTTAGTTAATGTATTAACAACGAAAAAAGAACAATACATTACAGTATTTATTCATCTTTTACAATGTTAGTTAATGAAAATAGAGCTGTTCACTGTTAGGTTATGTTAATTCACAGAGCATTAACTAATGTTAACAAGCACAACGTTTGATTTTAATAATGAGAACCTTTAGTTTACAGTTACTGAAAGGGGTCATGAACTGAGAAATTACATTTCCCTTGATCTTTTGACATGTAACAGGTCAACGTACTATAAAAACATCCTGTAAGTTTCAGAACTCAAAACTTTCCTCTTAGTTCGAAAACAGCTTTTATTGAAACCAAACTCAGAAAACAACTCGTTTTGGCATGTCACATTATGATAGTCTGCTGAAGAGTAATTCAAATAATGCATCTCATAATCTTGTACTGCAGTTATATCTGATCAAATGCACATTATTATTCTTTAGTTTATTTATTACGTTTCAAAAAAATTGATTTTTCCGTACATTTCTACCATATGTACATTAACTGACAGTCACCACTGATAAGCTACCACTAAATATTGTAGAAACTTAATTTGCTGTAAAGTTGCTTTGCAATGATTTGTATCGTGAAAAGCGCTGTACAAATAAACTTGACTTGACTTGAAACTTGACTGAAGATCAACGCCTGTTTCTTTATTATTACCTCTTTAGCCCCGACCACTGATTCACACATGTAATAGGAGGAGAGGAAATATTAGAGAAACACAGGATTACTCCATCAACAAAACCATAGAGATGCCTCCGAGGATCACAAGATGCTGTGTAGTGTAAGTTGTGAAACATCTTTGCATTGCCTTCCTTGTGATCCGAACATCGTACCTAAACCGGTCACGAACATTGTGGCGTCGCGAATACATTTCTCTTTCATGTGAGAAGCAGCGCCAGCACTTGGAGCACGTCAGAAATAGATCGGGACATCAGTTTACTCTCAGAGATTTGTCATGTCAATCTGTTCCACATCCAGTGTAGTCATATATCGGGCCGCAGGGGTGGCCTTGCTACTGTTTTTAAAGACGCCTTACACTGTCGTTCTCTATCTACTGGCTCATATAACAGTTTTGAGGTGCAACTTTTACAGTTAGTCTTAGTAAACCCCTTCACTACAGCTCTATCATCCTCCTCACCATAATAAGGACTTTTCCTTAGACAAATCATGGACACAGTTGAACCTTTCTGTTATTTGTTATTAACAAATGTTTGTGTACTGGTTCCTTCCCTAACAGTCTTAAATGTCCTGTGAGGATGCCATATCTTAAAAAAATCAAACCTGGATCATTCTTCTCTTTCCAATTTTCATCCAATTTCTAATCTACCCTTTATCTCAAAGATCCTTGAGAAAGTTGTATTGACTCAATTACAATCTTATTTGGCTGTTAGTTCTGTTCATGAGATGTTTCAATCTGGCTTCAAAGCTTTACACAGTACTAAATCTGCCCTTGAGTCTCTAGTGAAATTTTTACAGAAACTGATTCTGGGAAATTCATGGCTTTAGTTTTATTAGATCTGAGTGCTGCCTTTGATTTGATTGACCATGAGGTCCTGTTGACACGTTTGGAGACATCTGTGGGCCTTCGTGGCACAGTCTTACAAGTGGTTCCGTTCTTATCTGAACAACAGATGTTTTAGTGTTTGCATTGGTCATCAGACCTCCTCTTGTATACATCTTAATTGTGGAGTTCCACAGGGATCAATCTTTGGACCGGTATTGTTCACCCTGTACATCTTACCTCTGGCTTCCATTTTTTAACAAATATAAAGTATCCTTTCATCTATATGCTGATGATTTTTTAATTTAAATGAAAATAAAACCAAAATAATTATTTTTGGCCATAAGGAAAATTGTGTGTTAAATGTTGACTGTGGCTCTCTGGCTCCATATGTAACTCACTATGCTAGAAATCTGGGCGTTCTGTTTGATCATAACTTAAAATTTGACAAACACATCAGTGCTGTTGTAAAATCATGCTTTTATCATCTCCGTCAACTTTCTAAAATGAAACCTTTCTTATCACAGAGTAACTTCCAAACGGTGGTCCATGCTTTTGTAACAACTCATTTAGACTATTGATATTCACTTTATTACGGTATTTCTCAGTCTTTCCTCTCTCGTCTACAGCTAGTGCAAAACGCAGCTGCTAGACTACTCTCTGCACCCGCAAGTATGAGCCAGTAACTCCTATTTTATCTGCACTGCACTGGTTACTTATCAAATATAGAATTTACTTTAAAATTCTGTTATTTGTTTATAAAGCCCAAAATAATTTGTCCCTTCAGTACCTGACTGACTTGCTCCATCCGTACACCTCTTATAGAACATTGAGGTCCAGTGATCTCGGTCTACTCATCGTGCCTAGATCTAGACTTAAA